AAAGGTGCAACATTTTCTGAAGAATTATGTTTTGAAGAAATTCTTAAACAATTAATCAAAGGAAAAAAAATTGCAACGGGATCTATTATTGAAGCTTTATGGAAATTTTATAAAGCTCCATCAGATGATCATACTGATGTTATAGCTGGAAAAATTCTTACATTTATCGTGGGGTAAAATTTTTTTGTCCTCAATTAATTATTTAAATATTTAATTTTTCTTTTGTTCAAACAGCAATGAAGTTAATACAAAATTAAATGATATAACTGATCTTATTCAAGCTAAAGAAAAAAATCATCGTTTTGTACATATATCTGGTTTACTTTTACAATTAGCGGCTACACCAAAAAAGGTTTTAGAAAGATTGTTTTGTAATTGAAATATTTATTTCATATTAAATATAGATTGAAAATGGTGTTCGACCAAAACAATTTCGTTTACCAAAAACTCATCGTCTATTTGAAATTCTTGGCAATATTATTGTGTCAAGTAATATAAAAATTATTATTTCGTTTTAAATTTTATAGATTGTTTTAGCATTTCATGATGTTTCCGATCGACAATGGACACCAATGATGGAATCAGCATTTGATGTTATATTTAAATTAGCTGATGGTCCAATAAAACATATTGAAAATATAATAAAAAAACTTGCTGTTAAAACAGGTGTTAAACTTGGTGGTTTATTTAAAATTCCACTATCATCTCAAACACAACCTTTATCTACTGAATCGATGGACTTTGAAAGTAAAAATTTCATATATATATTTTTTTTGCATTTTCAATTTAATTGATTTCTTTAGATGCTGGTAATGAGAGTAATCAAAATCAATTATCTCAACAACAACAACATCATCACCATCATTCTCAAATGAATGCAAATTCAGCATTATTATTAGTTCGTTTTTTAAATTGTTTGGGAAAAGCAGCTGTTGGAATTGTGTATTATGTTGATTGTACGGTCAAAGATGAACTTCTTCGTCGAAAAGAAGCTAAGCAATCAGCTGCAGTTAATAAAAAGTTACAGAAAAAAACAAGAAATTCAAAAAAACGAACGAAACGTAAAACACCAGATGAAGATGATGAAAATCAATCAACATCAATGAATGATACAACGAATAGTTCATCAAATCGTACGGTATGATGAAAGAGTTATTTCAATTATTTATCATAATTTCTTTTTTCGTTTTTTTTTTTGATTATTTAAGTTAAATTCAACTAATCGAACTGTTGATGATGAACAAGATGATGAAATGTGTCAAGTATTTGGTGGTGCTGAAGCTGAAGATCCAGTTGATAATGAAATTGGTTTATATATTCAATCATTATGCGAAAAAAATTCATTATTAATGCAATATAAAAATATTCTTGAACAAGTAAATATATTCTTCTTTTTAGTTCAAATTGAACTTCTTAATAAAAATTAATCTGCTCAGCTAAAGTCAGAGATCATCAAGATTCTAATCAACACACCGTTAGAAATATATCAACATTTCGTGGCCGATGAGTCTATAGTAATGACGATTATTTCTATATCACAATACAAAAAATCAGCTATAACCATAAATTTATCATATACGCGTCATCTAGGATGCCGCAGGACTCTATCACCGTCTGAGGTCAGTAACTGGCGGCCGTTTTTAAACACAGTAAAAAAAAACAAGAGAGAAACAAGACTAGGTGGAACCACCGAGGGCAAGATAAAAAGTTGAGGGTAAGAGTGAGAGTGATAGGTTAGATTGAGGGTTAGCAGGATAATGAAGTGTGCTATCTTGTTGCCTTCTCTACGACGGTTCTATCGTGGTTTTTGACAAGCAGTTTGTTATACGTATTAGCAAAAATAAAACAAAGGTTTATCCTAAACAGCGATGCAAACACGCAAAATGATCTAATACTGCCCACATCTGGAGGACATAATAAAGTAAAACAAAACATAATATCGAACATATGCATGTCGAAGGAGAGATGTGTTGAATGATGAAAGGAATAAAACAAAAAGCAGTTGAATTGTTCTGTGGTAAGATACCAATCATGCTATCATTACATAAACTTTGTATAAAGAAAAAACTATTAGCTAATTTTTCATATTAAAAAGTCTTCATGCAGACAATAATTTTCCTCCTAGGGATATGGATACACATGAGAAAATCCTATTAGTCTGTCCGGAAATGTTCTGTTTTGGCTGATCTCTCCTTGCTCCTTCTCTTGTACATCCTTTATCAATGGACATATACCTCTTCTGTTTTACATTTTCGAATAACATACGACTAAAAGAAACCTATCAATGGGATATATTATTATTAACGATCCAGGTGTACATAAGCGAAACAGCAATAGTTGACTTCTTGAAAAAGTAAACTCGTCCTCGTTAATCGATGAGGCTAAATCTTCAGACGTTACGTATCGTTTTTAATAGGTTGTATACTAGTGTATTCAGTTCAATAAGATTAGAAGAAATCCAAAAGAGTATCTCTTCATATTCTATATTTTTGATTTCTAACAAGATATGTATGAAAAAGAATACAGTTATTAAATTTTGTTGATAGATAAATGACAAAAGTTATTCAAAGATTGTTTTATTCTCGAGATATAAAACTTAAGTACTGACTAAAACAAATCTTCATCTAGTCTAATAGAAATTAATCAATACTAATATTATTCAAATTTTTCTTTTTCTTTATATAAAATTAAAAATCTTTCGTTTTTTCTTCTTCTCAAGATTCTACTCCATCCAAATGAATATCGTGACGAAACATTACAATTAAGTGCTACAATTTGTTTATGTAAATATATGTTATTATCAGTTGAATTATGTGAAACACATGCAAAAATGTTATTTGATTTATTAAAAAATTCAATATTCGAAAGTGTTCGTGTTGCTATTATGGTTTTAATGAATGATTTTTATTTAAAGTAAATTTCTTTTGAAAAAAAAAAATATATTTTTCTAAAAAAGAATTTTTTTTTAAAGATATCCATTAGCATTTGCTGCTTATTCAAATGATGTTTATGGTTGTTTACGTGATCGATCAGATAATGTACGTTTAGCAGCATTAAAAACAATTTCAAATTTAATTCTCAAAGAAATGGTTAAAGTTAGTTTCATATATATATATATATAAATCAAAACAAAAAACATATGATTATATAAATTTATTTCTTTAGCCAAAAGGTCAAATAAGTGAAATAGCATTATGTATTATTGATAAACATACTCAAATAGCTACATTAGCTACATCATTTTTTAGTGAATTAGCTAAACGACAACATGGTGAAGCATTATTTAATATTTTACCAGATATTTTTTCGAATTTAGTTGGTGGTGGATTAGATAAAGAACGTGAATTAAATGAAGATGACTTTAAATGTATTATGGAATTTTTATTTAAATATGTTAGTAAAGAAAAACAAACAGAAAGTTTATCAGAAAAATTAATGCAACGATTTCATATGGCTGAGTAAAAAGAAAATAATTTTTTTATTTATTTAGTTTATTTATTGTTTTGTTGTTGTTTTCATTTACATAGTAATAATCCTCGTTTATGGCGTGATCTTGCATATATTATGTCAAAATTAACATATAATGAACGATCATTAAAAGGTTTACTTGATCATTATAATTATTATGCAGATAAATTAGTTGAAGATGCTGTTTATGAATCATTTTTAACGATTCTTAATAATGCAAAAAAGAATTTAGGAAATAAACCTGATTTAACAGTAAAAATAAAAAGAAATTTTTGCTTTCATTAACTGAAAATGATCCGATTTCTTTATAAAAGGTTGTACTTGATGAATTATCGACTCGTATTGATCAAGCAAGATCATCAAATGGAATTTTAATTGCTGTACAACAAGCACAACAAAAAACAAAACAACAGCCAAAAGGTAGAAAAAATTAAAACTAAGAAAAAAAAAAGTAACGAGGGAAGTCCTCCAAATTTGCAGGACAGACTTTTTTGGTCCCCGTTCCGATCGCAGTCTAGAGAAAACTATTTCAAAGTTTATTCGTATCACATCTAAAAA